CTATAACACTAGTTACAATTAATGGACTGTTTAGGTTAGTATTCTTCTGTTCAATATTGATTAAATATAGTAATATTAATAAGTTGTTGTTGGGTTCAGTATTAGAAGTGTTGTTGGACATATTGAAGTATTTCTATAAAGGCAGTTATAGTACTATTATCAGTTTTAATATTGTAAAAATATACTGGATCTGTATGTCTATTAAGAATACTATTTATTATTTTGGTAGATTGTATTATTAGTTATTTACATCTGTTATTGATTGTTATATTGATATGCTATTTAAGATTGAGTATTTTCTATACTATGTGTATGAAAAGAGCTTTCTATATTTGCTTAGCATTATCAATCTATTGTGGTAGTAGTAAAGAGTTTTCAGATAGGTTTGAAGTATCAAAGTTATGTTTGTGATTAATGATATTGATATCAATTATGGTTTGTGTAAAAAATAGTAGGATTATGTTTAAATAAATTTTTAACTCTATAGATAATGTTTATAATAAGTTTAAGATCTTTGTATAGAGCTGTTATTTTAGAGCTAAAGGTGTAAAAAGAATGTTTAATTGTTTGTTTTTTGTTAGAAATATGTTATAGAGTGCATTAATGATACAAGTATAGATTTTGTATCAAAATGTTTTAGTAATATTGTATTATCTACTTCTGCAGAGATTTTGTATTGGTGCATGTTAAAATTAATTTGGTTTGAAAAATCTTTCTATTTTTTATTAGTCATTGCTTTGTAGTTAAAAGTTTTATATTTTTTTTTCTAAGTTTGTTAATTGCAAAAAGAAAAGTCCATTGTGCTATGAGCATTTAATGGTCACTATTAGTAATCCATAATGAGTTATCAATATAGAATTTGTTAAGAAATAGAATTGTGTGTTTATTTGCCTATATGTAGTCAATTTTGCTATTATATCTACTACTTTGCCAAGTAGCATTAGTATTATTTGTGTGATTTGCCAAATTATATATATTAATACTATATAAGTAGTTTAGTAGTTGATATTTAGTCATATTAGATATAGTAGTTTGAATTGATGAATTGAAATCACCAAGAATAATTATGCATAGTTGTAACTGAAGAGCTTGTTGTATCTATGTGATAATAGAAGATGAGTTTGTTAATAAGCAAGATTGTTTGTTAATAATAGATATGTTGAGATTATTTAAAATATATAGTTATGTTTAAAAAAGAGGTCTATTGCAATAGCTTCATAGTGATAATTAAGAATGTTATGAATATATAGTTGTAAGTTAGTTTTAATCATGATATATATTCCTTCTTTAGATGTAGAGCAGTTTGACTAGTAATAAGAGAATTGGTGATTGTTATAAAACTTTTTGTTTTTGGTTTTTGCAATTTTGGTTTTAGTTAAACTGATTATATGTAGATTATTTTAAAGACAATATTCTTGCATTAAGAGCTTATTTTCTGAATTATTAAAACCTTAAATATTATAAATTACAATGTTTAAGTTCAGAAAGAGGTTAGATAAATGATTTGTATAAAGTCTTTATGAAGGTGGTAGTAATAAAGAAATAAAAAAAGATGAAGGTTGTTGAAGTAGTATTGAAAATGTAGAAGGTAAGTTCAATATTAATATTATAGTATATTAATTTGTTGAGTTAAAAAGATCATCCTTTGTTGTATATGATTTTAGTAAAATGTTTAGATAATGCCAAATAGCTTGAAGTAATAGAATAAAATAATTAAATAGAGATTTGGATTTAGATGAAAGATAGACATAGGCTTTACTTCAATTATTTTTAATAGAAATAATTAGAGTATAACTATAAGCATTGCTTAATAAATAATCAAAACTATGAATATGTCTTAGAAGAAGATAATTGTTTGTAGATGTGAAAGTAGTGAAAGGTAGTTACAAGCTAGAAATTTATTATAGCAGGTTTAAAGTTATATAGAACCAAAGTGTTTATTAGCAATAATAGTATCAGTTTATCTATAGAATAAGGTGTACTAATGCACTTGATAGTTATATTGATTATCACATTACACAAAATATAACCATTGATCATCAATGTATTTTATTTATATTAATGTTATACAATAGATTCATATATCAAATTTAATAATACAATTACAAAGAAAAGATAAATGTCTGTTGGTTCTTTGTAGTTATAAGAATTATCAAAAGAAAATTTGATAAAAAATTTGATAAGGATTAAATGTTAAAACAGTCTTTATCATCTATTCGATATTACTAATTTATCTATATTTAGAAATCATAAAACAAATTCTCATGTTTAATTCAAAAAAAAGATATACAAAATTTATTTTTGTAACAAACATGTTGACTAAAAAAAGTTATTAAAATAAGAATCAAATTTCTGAATGAGTTCAATAACTTTTATCTAAAGAAAATAAAAAAAAAAACATTTTTTCAAACTGATAAAAATTATTGTTCTACAAAATTTAATGAACTAAATGGATAGAACAGATGTAAATATATTGATTTCAATGATAGAGCATTTGATTATTCTTATGTTCTTTTACTAAATGATCAATATTCTATTATGAATACTAAAGTTTCTGTAAATGATGTTTTGGATTTTGATGCATTTATTGATAATGGTCGTTTTGTTGAAGTAGAAATTTCAAAAAATGTAACTGTTAATAAAATAACTTCTGTTAAAGAAAAAATAAAAGATTCTAATGAAAATGATGTTAAAAAAGAAATTATTGATGAATTGTCTAATAAAAAAACAAATGAACATACTAAAGCATTAAAAAATAAAATGTTGATATTGAAAATGAAGTTAAAAAATTTAAAAGAAAACTTGATAAATGTTATAAAATAAGTGATAAAAAGAATGATCATATAAATGACCTTAAAGATAAACTTATTTGAGGAAATAATAAAATTCGAAAATATAAAAATGAAATATATCAGTTGAATAATGAATTAGATAAAAGGAAAAAATATTTAAAAATTTATCAAATTTACTTAATAACAAAGATGATATAATTAAAAGACTTCTGAATAATTAAGATGAATTAATTGAATGAAACAAAAAAGATAGAGATGATAATGAAATGTTATACAATAGAAATAAAAAGTTAGAAACTAAAATAGTTTTCTTAAAGAAAAGGATAATTGCTTTTGAACAGTGAAATGAAATAAAGAATGCAGGAATAGAAACTAAAACTCCAATTCATAATTATATAAAAGTTAAATATGATAATTAATAATATATCTTGTTATACTAATCATGTGATGTATTATAAACCAATAATTATAAATAAATCAATTGTTTAATTTTTTTTCTGTTCTTAAATTAATCATGAATTCATTTCCTATTGAAATTAAACAAATAATTTTTATTTTATTAAATGATCCTACCTTTTTAGTAAAGGTATTAAAAGAATGGAATGAAATTAGTCATTATATAACTGTTTGTGCATATTGGTTAGTCTATTATTATGGTAGATGCCATGCACTGTTTTATGCTTTCAAGAAGAACTCACAATTTAAGACAAAGCATCGATTTCTAAATAGCCAACTTATTGAAGCTTTATTTAAATTGAATATCCTATTCTTATGATTTTTTGTCTAATGAATAATGTTATGCTTTGGTTATTCTGATTATAATTTGATTTCACTTAAATAACAACACAAGTTGACAACTAACAGAACTTTGAATCCAAATAATGTCTTATTTGAAAAAAAATACAATGGGTTTCTTTTGTCAATTATAAAGAAGTTTTTCAGATTATTGCTAAAGTTATAGAAATTTATAGAATCAATGAAGTATATTTAAAAAATAATGATATGGAGTATTTTCATTTTCTTTTTGGTGGCCCAGAGGTTATACTCAATGCTGGTATAGTTTTACAACAAAAATATATATTGTTAGAAAATTTGATTAAAAAATATTAATTTATATCCTTTCTACCATGACTATATAAACTGATTAATGTTTTAGAAAACTATTCTCCTCAAGATGGTTATGAAAATAATCACCAATTGAATGTTATTGTCTGAGCTATATTATTGAAACATAAACTAATCAAACTTTGGCAAAAAATAGGATATTATAATATAATTCAAGATACAAATGATCTTGTTATCCAAGGTCAATTTCTTATATGCTATCTACCAAATAATGATTTATTTAATAAATATGATACAGTATATAATAAGATAAATATACTATGTGATTTTAGATATAAGATTACTATACAACTTCTTTGTGATATTTATTCTGTATTTGAGATCAAATGTCTCTTGTTAAAAATAATATTTTAAAAATAACATCAAAAATAATGTAAAGTTTTGAAGAAAAAACATTATTCAATCTATTTAAAGTTAGTATATTCACAAAACATAACTTTATGAGCATAAAAGATTTTTTTCTTAAGGATTGATATTACATTGAAGATCTATATTTATATACATTCGAGCAACAAATTAATTTAACATTTTTTATTATCAAAAGAGACATTACAATAAACTTATGATGATAATTTATTTTTTAACTTTCAAGAAATCATGCATTTAAAGAATCAATTTTAGTCTGGATATTAAATACTTATGATATAAATTCTAATATTATTAGTATCTGTTTTGATTATATTTTACTTTTATGAGTTCTGGTTAATGTATTTGGTAGCTTGAATAATAGAGTACCAAAAGGATTATCTATTAATAATATTAATTATATTAAGAAATTATTTATTACATTTGCAATCTGCAACATACCTTTTAAAAAAAAACATCAAGATATTATACAAATATGTAATAATAATAAAATTTTTTGTTCATTTTTTGATTGTTTCATTTATTTTTTATTTGAAGAATATATCAAACCTATGATTATTATGACTAAATACTTACAAGTTAATAATAATAAGATATATACTTGTCGTGCCATTAACCAGTACCCAGTATACTATGTACGTGGCATGTTGAATGTTATAGAATGGGACTTTGATCATGAACGCAGTTCATGATCATTACGTGACCCTGTGAGTTATTATGATTGGATGGGCAATATGCGTAAATCAGGTAAATCAATGATGTAATAATTAGATAGTTTATTATAGTATGTAAATTAAATAGGCATCATTAATGCAAAATCTATTGTAGATGGTGCGCAATCTCATATAAAATATGTAGTCATCAATTTGTAGTAGTCTAATAGACTCAAATTTAGTATATATAGAGGTTAATAATTAGTAATAAAAAGAAGCTTGACCTTTCACTAATAAAGAACCAGTGCCTTTGGATATAAATAATCTGTTACCTATCTGTGTGGAATAAGCCTTTAGTGCCTCATGTGTTGGAGAGATGGTGTTGCGAAGGAGTGTTGAGTAGTAAGCGACGTTGAAGCCTCTGAAGTGTGGACCAAATGTAACCGAATCGAAAAAGTGCTCCCATTGTCGAGCTAGATCAATAGTAGAAACCCACCTACTACTAACCCGCATGACAAAGTAGAACCTGGGCAGAACGAAAGACCTCTTGCAGTGAAGCAACTAACAAAAGCTGAAATCGGAGCCTGTTAATAAAAAAAAAAAAAAAAAAAATTTTTTAGTTCACAAATGTATATTTAAACAACAAGAATCAAAAGACAATACTTAGCTTTACATTAACTAAATCGGTGCCTCCAATTCAATCAAACCCATATACTGTGCCTGTGATGATAAGGATGTTGAAGAATTTCTTGAAGACTATGAAGCGTATAGAGCATCGAAGGAATGTGATGAAGATAAAATGCAGCAAGTAATAAGACTCTATGTCTCTAACAATCTAAAGCCCTGGATACGTGAACAAATAAAGGCCAACAGTACATGGACCAATCTGAAAGCTGCTATTAGCTCTGGTGCCCAAACGTCCTATAATGTTGAGGAAAAGCTCGAACAATTAAAAAGTGTGAAGCAAAAGCCGAATGATATGATCAAGACATATACCAACCAGTTCGATGCGTGTGCAGAAGCTGTGAAGAATCATATCAGAGGTCTTGAGAAAAGACAATAGTATGAGCAAGGGTTAAGGAAACTTTTCAAAAGCTGTGTTGAAATGCAATGTCCCGAAACATATAAGGATGTGAAAAAATAAGCCCTGAAAGTGAAAAAGTACAACAAAGATAATGAGTACAGGACAAAGAGCCCTATCAGAACCATGAATGAAGAACCAAACAAAATTAAAGCAGATGTGAATAACCTCACCTCAGCTTTTGGTGTCTTAAAAATCTGCCGTGTTGACCAAAATTAAGACCAGAATGATCAAATATGCAAAATGGAGTTAAGCATTAAAGAATTAATGAAGGTCATTTTGGACCTTACAGAAAATAAAGAACCTCCCTTGCATCGTAACCAGAAGACTCAAAATCAATGACTAGACAACTGAAGTCAAACCACCAGACCCTGCAGATGTTATGAATGTGACCAGGAAGGGCACATTGCGTGGAATTGTCCCAACAAAATGATACAACCTCAGCCCAATGATCAAACAAAGGCAATAAGGAATAATCAATCTGACAATCCTGATGTTAGAGGCATGAATGTATGATATTTTGAAGTTATGGAAACAGAAAAGGATGGGGATGATGAATACCTGAGAGTTGAATTAAAAAAGAGTGAATCATTATTTGATGTGAGAAACCTTGGAAAAAGGAGATATATAGAAGATGAGCATGAAATGCCATCATGGGCTCAAAAGAGCACTTATGTTGAGATGCCTGAGGAAATTGAACAATATAAAAAGGGATTCATAATGTATATCCCAATCTCTGAATTAACAAATGAATTAGACATTTTAAAGAAAGTGGCATCACTTGAGTTTCCTATAACTTTAGGACAACTATTTAAATGGTCTCCCAAAGCCAGAACTAAAGTGCTTAAAGCACTAACTAGAAAGAAAAAGGAAAGTGATGTATTGTTAGTAAATGCTGAAATTAGAATTGTAAGGGGAGCACAAACCAGTATGAATCTAAAATTAGGAAATGTTCTCATTGGTATAGTCAAAATAAACAGTGAAGCAATTGAAGTTCCAATAAATCCTGGTTCACGTTTGAACCTCATGCATGAGTCATTCACTAGGCGCAAAGGGTTAGCATGTTAACCTGTAATGAGTAAAGGAAGAATGGCCAATGATTGCTTGATTGAATTTGTTGGATACATTTCGAATATAGAAGTGATAACTGAAGAAATTCAGGTGATCCAAGGGTTCTATGTAATGAAAGCTGCAAGTTTTGAAGTACTTTTAGGTATGCCCTGGCTAGCCGCAGCTAGGTGTAACCTAAAATGGAAAAATAACAAATTATGGTGTACGATAGGGTCTGATTACAAAAAAGCTTCATTTATTGCATCAGTAGTGCCTAAGAATTGGATTGATATTCACGAATGTGATGATGATAATGAAGAAGTAGACAATGTAATGGCAGTGCAAAGAATCGAGGTTGAGGATCACGAGACCTTGTAGAAAATGAGTAGCAAAATGAAAGGGTAGAGGATATTGTAAAACATGCAAGCAATTCGAACAAGCTTACATTAAAGAAATTGAGTCCATCAATTCACGTAATCTTGTTGATGTGGATCATGTTGGACGAGTAATCTATTGGTCACAAGAAAATGAACGAATTAATAGTACTATAAAAGGGTTTAATATGGAACCTAGTGTTGTGATGCATCTGACAAAGGATAATTGTAGTAAATTGGATTTCAGGCCTACTATTTCAGCTGAGAAAAGAAAACAGATCGAAGAACAATTAACAAATGAAACCTCTGACATATTTGCATTCGATATTTCAAAAATAGGGAAAACTGATTTGATCCAATATGAAGTTAGAACTAGTGGTGAAGAGATCCTACCAATATGTGTACGACCAATACGGATAAGTAATCCAGAGCATGCTTGTATGTTCGAATATCACCTGAAGGATATGTTGAAGTATGGACTTCTAGAAAAGGGCATGTGTCAATATGCCTACCACTGTTTTCCTGTTAAGAAAAAGGAAAGAGGAACTGATAAATTAAGAGTGGTCAGAGACATGAGACCACTAAACAAATATATAATAAAAGAAGGGTATCCTTTACCTATCATACATGATATCTTGGAAAAGGCTATAGGTCATAATTGGTATTTCAGTGTAGATGCTTATAAAGGCTATTGGCAAATACGCATTCATGATAAAGACAGAGACAAATATCTGTTGCTACCCCTTTTGGTGTATTGCATTATATCATCATATGCATGGGTCTCAAAAATGCTAGCGAAACATTCTAGCATTTGATAGATAGACTATTTGAAGGTGATGAATGAAGGTATATTGCTGTGGCATATTAGGATGATATTGGTCTTTGGACCTAGGGGTCGATTGAGGAACATGTTGATAAATTTGTTAATTTGGCATGAACATTTAGTAACGCTGGTCTCACCTTTGCCACCAAAAAGTGTCACCTACTCTATAAAAAGTTGAACATGTATGGTTTTATCATTGGAAAAGAAGGCATAAAGCCTGATCCAACCTGAATAAAGAAAATTAATGAATGGAAAGCTCCTGAGAACGTTCAAGAAGTTCATGTGTTCTTAGGTAGTGAATTATTATCGCTGGTTTGTAAAGAATTTTAGTGCAATTGCCAAACCACTAACAGAGCTAACAAAAAAGGATATTAAATTTATGTGGGCTGACAAACAAGCTGAAGCATTCCAATTGCTTAAGCACAAAATGACAAATGATGTAATGCTTAAAGGACCGAATTGGCAAGATGCCAAAAATAGAACCAAACCCTACCAAATAAGCACCGATGTTAGTGACACAGCATTGGAAGTTGTCTTGGAACAAAAGGACGAACAGCATATGCTGTGCCCTGTAACGTTTAAATCACAAAAGTTGAATTCACATGAATTAAACTATACAATAACTGAGAGAAAATGCTTAGTTTAGTTTTCGGTTGCAATATATGTGAAAGATATGTAGCTGGAATGACATTTGATGTATGGGTGGACCACCAAGCTTTAGAATGGCTTTTTAACAAAGCTTAACTAAAAGAACATTTAATGCGTTGGGTAATAGCTTTACAAACCTTTGATTTTAAGGTACATTACAAGCCTAGTAAAAAGCATGATCATGCTGATGGATTATCCCGATACCCTGATCCTGTGACACCCAAAGATCGACCATTGGATGAAGAATTTGTTGATTCTTTGTTGTTAAGAGTAGGTGAAGAAGCCGATCAAAGCACAAAAGACTTGAAAGTGGTCAAGTTTTATTTAGAAAACATGCGTTGTCTACATGAAATATTGAAAGAGGATCTATCCTGGCTTCAAAATAAAATCTGAAAGTTTTGCTTGATAGGTGGACAATTATTTAGAAGAGTGATCAAGGGCAAACCTCCACGTAGAGTTATAACAAATAATAGTGAAAAGGTTGATTTAATGAAAGCAAATCATGAAGGACTTGCAGAAGAAGGTAGACATCGTGGAATGAAAGGAACCGTCAGAAAGATTCTGTTGAATTATGTATGGGGAATTGGTAGTGTGTACAAGGATGTAAAAAACTATGTATCATCTTGTTTAACATGTCAGATGTGTGCTAACAAGCAAATCAAAAAACCCGTCCATGTGATTGCACCAGATGGATTTTTCACAAGCTCTATGTTGATTGCATTGGTCCCTTACCTAGAACTTTCACTGGTCATGAACATATAGTAATCACTGTTGAAGACTTAACTGGATACATAGAAGCACATGCATTAAGAAATAAAAATGCAAAGTCGATCACTACATTTCTGTAGGAGGAAATAATTATCAGACATGAGTGTTTTGTTGAATTAATCTTGAATAGAGGAACTGAATTTAAAAATAATGTAATGGAGGAACTAACAGCTCGATTACAAGTGAAGCAGCAGTTTACAGCCAGTTACCACCCTGAAGCAAATAATAGAGCTGAATGTACAGTACAAAAGCTTACCAGGATTATCAGAAAGGTTAGTGCAGAAGCACAAAACTGGTTGCATGAGCATTTGTGCGCTGCTATGTGGGCCCTCAATGTAATCGTAAGTGAAGTCAGCTACTCATCTTTTAGACTAGTGTACGGTCATGATGCTATAATGCCAGTGGAATTGACGCTTGAAAGTTACCAGTTCTTTATGACCAAGCAAGACTAAACTACTAATGAGTTGTTGACCTTTAGAATGCTACAAATAAAAGGGCTAGTTAATGAACTAAAAGAAGTGAAGGTGAACTGAGATGAGCTCCATGAATGATGGAAGAAATTCCATAATCGACATGCAAATGAAAGCAAGGAAAAGATCAATGTTGGTGACTTGGTTCTGGTATTTGCTTCAACACTCGATAATTCACCCTGTAAGTTGGATTATAGGTGGGTCAGTCTGTATATAGTAAGGAAAGTCAGTTTTAATGGTCACTTGTATCTAAACGAAATGGATGATAATGAATTAAGGGATTCTTTTATAAGAAATCGGGTCAAAAGATTGAAGCAAAGAAAAGCATGGATGGACGAAAACCCTGGTGAAGAATGTGTAGACTTCGAAGACAAAGATCTTAAGGGGTCTAGCTCCTGTCATGCTGTTAACCAGTACCCAGTGTACTATGTACATGGCATGTTGGATGTTATAGAATGGGACTTTGATTGTGAACGCAGTTCATGATCATTATGTGACCCTGTGAGTTATTATGATTGGAGGGCAATATGCGTAAATTGGGTAAATCATTGATATAATAATTAGATAGTTTATTATAGTATGTAAATTAAATAGGCATCATTAATGCAAAGTCTATTGTAGATGATGCGCAATCTTGTATAAAATATGTAGTTATCAATTTGTAGTCTAATAGACTCAAATTTAGTATATATAGAGGTTAATAATTAGTAATAAAAGGAAGCTTGACCTTTTGCTAATAAAGAACCAGTGCCTTTGCATATAAATAATCTGTTACCTATCTGTGTAGAATAAGCCTTTAGTACCTCATGTGTTGGAGAGGTGGTGTTGTGAAGGAGTGTTGAGTAGTGAGTGACATTGAAGCATCCGGAGTGTGGACCAAATGTAACTGAATCAAAAAAGTGCTCCCATTGTCGAGCTAGATCAATAGTAGGAACCCACCTACTACTAACCCACATGACAATACTATAGATAAAAGAAACCCAAATAGTAAGATAAAGAAAAAATGAAAAAATATTCTTTATTCATTTTCTGTAGTAAATATTCATTATGCAATATCGAATTTGAAGCACATATTAATTTTATTAATTATTTAAACAGAATTAAAACTATGTTAAAAATCTAATTTAAGAAAGAATTTAAGCAAATAAACTAAGAAACATTAAGTTTGATTTTTTCATAAGAAATGTAATTTTCTAAAACAATATCTTTATATTTAAACTGTTTTAAATTATTATGTTCATATTTAAATGAAATTGTTGGAAAAATTTATATGGTTCTCTTTTTGTTTGTTCTTATAGTTTTTCTTATGATCTTGGTAAATATGTACATCACCAAGAGTCAAGATAAGTTTTTCAGCTTTAAGACCAGTGATGTTAGCAATAATATGAGTTAACAATATATAACTTATGATATTGAATGTACTTTCAACTTCACATCTCCAGATTTTTGATATACATGATATAATATGTTTTTTTTTATACTTTTCAGAATGTTAACATAAAATTGAACAAAAACATGACAAGGTGGTAATATTATTTTATCTAAATCTTTAGGATTTCAAAAACTAATTATGATTCTTCTATTTGAAAGATCTGTCTTAATCAAATTGATCATATATTCTAATTGATCAAAACTTTTATCTTTGTAGTTGGGTTTACTGTCAATATAATCTGCACTAGAATATCTTAATTGAAATCCATAAATTGGACCCAGATCATTATTATCTCTTGCATTTTTATTCCAAATATGGATGTCTTTTTTTTGTAATTTACTAACATCTGTACTTCTACTAATGAACTAAAAAAGTTCTTCTGCAACTCTTCTAAAGAACATCCATTTAGTTGTCAAAAGTAAAATCTTTTTATATTTTAAACTAAATCTTAATTGAGAGATAAAAAGATTGATAAAGTTCTAATACTAGTTCTATTATTTCTATTTTCTCTATTATTTAAAATATTCTTGATAAGATTTAGATATTCATACTTTTTATGAATTATGTTTGAATTCATCTTAATGACTTAAGAAAAATCATAGACTTAATTTATACTTAATTTTATATCACAAAAAAATAATAAATAAAGTAGTCAAACTTAGTAAATAGTATTAGTTCAATTATGTCTTTTTTTGAAAAATGCAAAGTTGCTATTATTGTATTCTATAATAAGTTAAGAAACATACTCCTTGGTAAACAATTATCTAAAGTCCTAACTGAATACTATGATGAACCAGGTGAAAAGATTGATCCTAATAAAGAAATTATCACTGGTTTATAAAGAGAAGTAAAAAAAAAAACTGGTATTTTAATTAGGATCAAAGATTTACAAGAAGGCTTATTATGCATAGCTTCTGAGACAAGACTTTTATCACAAGAATACAGATTTGTAAAATGTGAAACTAAAGATGATTATTATAAGCTAATATATGAAGTTTACATTTACCTATTTTCTAAAGAAAAAAAAGCTCTATGAACTGAACCTGACAAATATAAAGAATAGAAATTTTATTCAGAAAATGAAGCTTCGAATCTAGAATTAGTACTTTTGATCAAAAAATATTTTAATTATATTTTTCTAAATATTAATACTAGAATTGCTAATAATTAAAAATAAAACTATTAAGAGTTTATGAATAAATTTTATTGATAATAAATATTATTTGCTTAAACCAAGATTATTCTAAAGTACTTTAGTATCTATTTCTCTGTTATTTGAATTTAAAATTCTATTACTAGATAATACAGTAAATTTATTATTATACATTGTAATATTAGAATTAACAAATTTACTATCTATAAAATTATCATTAATCATATTTGAACCAAATGGAATATCATACAAATTCATATCTTGAGTTACTGAGTTTTCTCTAGTTTGAATATTCATTTCAACATCATTTTTATAAATATTATCAAAATATTTATAGTTAAAATGATTAATGCCAAGTTAACCCATCTTTCATTATTGTCAGTATCATATGAACTAGGTAATATTTTTATTTATGAAGTGATATTCTTTTTCAGAATGTCACAATCATTCACATCTTTATTGTTTCTTATATTAAAATTGTTCAGATCGACAACAAGAGCATTTTTGAAAAATTTTTATAAGAAATTATTATCTTCAGTATTTGCATTATTAATAATAGAACAAGTATTCTTTCTACACAAAATCATGATAGGTACAGATTTCTTAATAAAATTTCTTTGATTTATAAAGATTCTATTTTTATTAAGAAAAAGTTGTGCATATTTCTTGTGATTAAATATATTTTTATTGGATTTATTTATCATTGTAAAATCATTAATATTATCCAAACATAATAGATCACATTTCTTTGAATTGTAAATATATAACTGAAATTCATTACAAAAATGTGCAATACTTATTCTGTAATTTGTTAATAATTTGATCATATTCCATTTTCTAGTTCCATTTTTTAGTACAAAAACAGAACTCCTTTGATTTGTATTTTTCTTTAATTTGTTTAAAACATTATTACTAATCCAATTATAAATCAGTTTAGGTATCAAAAAATCGGTAGGTATCCACTTTGAACTAGTAACCAAAATTTGTGATAATAAGTTTTAATGTTGTGTACCTGGTTCCAATGCTTTTAATTGTGATGTTCTTATAAAGGCTAGAATTCTTCTTTAGTAGTTTTATGCACTTTTAGCTTTTCCCAATGAATTTAACATTTTCTTGCAACACTCAACTTTCTTTTCATTAGTATTTTAAAAGTATCTAATTTTAGTTTCTTTCTTGAAGTTATCCTTTTATCTTCATATTCAAAAAAATCAAAATCATTATTATTAAAACATGTACTTTCAGAAATTACTGAATATCATTTCTTATTTCATCCTTTGTTCTTTTTCTTGAAATTCTAGTTCTTGAGCCTATTTGCTTATTTAAATTACCAAAAACATAATTTTTAACACTATTCTATTTGCATTAGTTACTTCTAATAATTTTCTACCTTTCATACATTCCTCTTTAGTAGGAAGACATTCATCATATACATCATTCAGATTAATGTAACTGCATAAACAACTTGAATGCCTTTCACACCTTTCATACTTTTTGATAGAGTATTCATATCTACATTTAGTACCAGTTTTATACTTTTGTTGTGAATTCTTTCTAGTATGTGGATTGTATATTGGAATAACAAGATATATATTCATTCTAAAATTCTCTTTTATATATTTTTCTGTTACTCTAACACTAAATTGCACATAACCTTGCAAATGTAATTTTTGTGTTTCTGAATCTTCTTCAAACTGTGCTGAATAGAATTGTAAATAAGACAATGTTTCTTTCTTTTTATTAAAATAATCTTCATACATAATCTGTGTCTATTCACACTTTCTATTCTGAAGATAACAATTTTGACATGAAATAATATTATTAAAAACATTGCAGTATTTTTTGCATATGTCTTCTTTACATCTTTTATAATTTTTTTTGCACTCACACTTCTTTGATTCTCTTAATATTCTAGTATCATCACAAGTTGGATATTGAATTATGAGACATTGTGAATAATCATAGTAAGTTTTACATGCATTTTCATTACATCTTTTATAATTATATTCACATGAACAGTCTCTTGTATTATAATTTTTACGTAAATTATTACATATTAGGTTGAAATAGTAGTACAAACATGAGTAAGTAGTAATAATAAAATCTCAAGACTTTTTATTTATTTTAATTTAGTTACAATCAATAAAATGAAGCAGAAAAATATCTTTATTTAATGAATTCACTGTAGCACAGTAAAATGCATAACTAAATATAGAAGTGCATATTATAAGCTCCAATTGATTACAATTTTCTTATCTTTAAGATATTTATTTGTATAAAAAAAACACCTAGAATTATAAAAAGACTTTCCTCTATTTAATAATAAAGAATGTCCAGATTTGATAATATATCCATTTTTAAGAAGACTTTCCTTTTCTTGTACAAATTTATCTTATAATAATGTTACAACATTTGGTTATTTCCAACTAGTTTAATAACTTTATTTGTAAATTTCTGCTATCTAATTTTTCATATAATTTTGACTTTTCTTTCTTGACTGTCAGAATCAAGTTTATTAATAATACATTTCTTGACTATTTTTTCAAAAAACCAGTTTTAGGTCTAATCCAATTTATATTTTCAAGATCCTATTTTAAGAGATCAAAAATCTTACTAAGTGAAGGTTATATATTTTTGAACTAAAAGCTAGACCATTTGCATCATTCAGATAAGAATTCTGCCTGACAATAATTACTGATATATTGCTTGGCAGTGTTTTAAAACACCTGAACCTATCATTTTTAAATAGAAGTATTTCAATACTATTATTTTCTAAATCGATAATTTGACTTTTAATAATAAGATAATATTGACTAGTTAATTCATTTTTCAATAAATTTATTCAATCTGCATGCATTTGATTGAACTTATTTACTAAAAGTAACTTCTTTTCTAAATTAAATCATCTCAAATTTTTTTAACTTTATCTTTATTTGATATCTTTATAATGTCAACAAAATCATCAAGTGTATTATTTTGTTTTGGAAGAATCTTCTTGTTAATTTTCTGCTTTTTATTAGTATTTTTAACTTTTTATTTTTTTATATATTTTAATCTTATAACTAAACTACTTACTAATTATATTCAATTTTCATGTTCTTTATAAATACAATTGCATGTTGTATAACAATAAATATCTGTATTATAATAAATAATCAAGTTATAATATCTTTATTTTCTCATATTTTATTGAACATAAGTAAACCAGACACTAAACTCCAATCTAAAAAGAACCTATTTACTAACAAATATTCTTAAAAAGAAGATGTTCTTAAATTTAATATAATTCAAGCAATGAGAATCTTGTAACAGAAGAATCATTTGAATATGTTGTAAATAGAAAGTTTTACAACCTTTTTCTCTTTAAGATTAGT